TTGAGTGCATGCTTTAAATTTTGTTGTTTATGTTTCTGCAAAATTATTGTTATAAGTATTTGTTAGTACAGATTAAATAACAAACGTTAATTGAGTATTCAAGCAAGTTTTCTCTACTGGATTTGTTGAAGGTACAATAAAAAAGGCCCTTACAAATCTCTAATTTCTTCATCAACGTCATTTCTTCACATACAAGGATGCGATTTTGTGTTCTTTAGAAAATCCTCTGAGAGTTAATAACTTTGCATGCCCATATTTTTATTTTTTTTATGTTGTTATCTTTTTTTACTAAATTTAATGAGTGAATATTATGAGTACTTTAAGGATTGAAAGTTGATTGAAGTGTTAGTCAATTTTTTGAGGTATGTTTTTCCAAAACATGAGAACTTTTTTGGTTAGAATGATTTGTTATCATCATTGGATATCTCATAGTTTACTACCTTTATTGTATGTTTTTTCTCGCTGTTTTTTTTTTCTCCTTAAAATTGTATTGATTATTTTTCATTTGGTATGTATATGACCTCACTTGGACAAAGCTTTCGTCCTTTTAATGTTTTTCTTTTTTTCCTTCTCATTCAGCTCTTTTAAATATTTTTGGTGTGAGTTATGACTATTTTCGGCAAGCTTAATTTGAAGAATATGAAACAAAGACTGCTCTAAATAAAAAGTAATATCTTAAGCTACAAACGATATGTCTATTAACATAGATTTGTTGTTCTTTATGTCTCAAGTCATTGCTGAGCATTTGAGTTATCTAGGTTAGACTCATTTTTAATTTTTTAATGTTCGATAATATTTCTTTAACATGAGTTTAGAATCCAACATTTTGATCTACTTGTACTTTTATAATGCAACAATTATACATACATATTTCTAAAAAAGTCATAAAGTTGCATTGATGAAATATCTAGAAGAGCCTTCAAAGCAGCAGTTTAATGAAGAATGAATTTCTAAAAGGGTCAACAATATTAATTTGTTGTTGTTTCAAATTTATTTTTCTCCTTCTATAAATTTCATCAGAGTAACAAAGTAACAATAACGAAAAGTGGTGAACGTTTGACCTCAGACAAGTAGACTGTCTCTAAAAAAATTATTTATGTTATTGTGGTGTATATTTTTAACGGTCTTAACTTATTTATAACTAATACTGATTATCGAATGCTTTTACATAAATTTTTTTCACAAGGAGTTATTCTAACCATAAAATTATCAAATTCTATATTTTTCATGTACAAAAAAATAGAAAAAATTATGTTTAATCGCTACATAAAACATCACTCAGTTTTAACAAGACAATTATATCATCAAACATATATTATGATAAATTATGTAAAATATAAAAATGATTAGATATCAAGATATTTTTAATCATTCATTATATATTTACAATTCTTGAGATCATTTAATTTTTATTGAAATGTTCTTCAAACCTACTAAAATTTACTTTATTTTTTTTATAACATTCGATTATTGAAAAGATTATTCAAAAGCATAGAAATATTATTTAAGCTCGCACGAAGCGCAGATAAATTACATAGTTAACAATATATTGCTAACAAATGTATCACGTGTGAATCATTAGTGAAATATAGTCATACCCTGGAAAATAAACAAATAAAAAAGTATAAAAGCTAGAAATTTTTGAGACATTTTCTTTACATTGTTTATCTTCTTTTTTTTTTCTTTTAAAAATATTTTTTACAAGGATAAAATTATGAAAGTAATCAAATTATATTCTAACAAAGAAAAAAAAAGTTAAAGTATTATATACACAAAATATTTATACACTATCCGATACATAGAAATCAAATCTTAATGACTTTTATTTTCATTACTTTAACAACTTTTTATTATTATAATTACTAAAATAATTAATAATTAAATCATATTATTTGATATTTCATATTGTAGTCCTATAAATAAAGACATAAGACTTTTAACGATTAAGATGTAACAATGATATTATAAAATATATCTTTTATTTATTATTTAATAAAATTATTTGTATCTTATCTTTTTTATAACCGCGCGAATAACATACAAGTTCACTAGTGCATAATTAAACTTTAAACACTCACTATAAGCTTAACTCCAATAATTATCTAAAATAATTTAACAAATATTAGTTAAATGCCTCGTGACCTCAAAACATTACAATAACAAAGGAAATAACGATAGACTCCTCGACCCTTAAATTATCTTTGAAGCCTCTACTATTACAGAAGGATTATCGGGACAAGATCCATGACATTCTAACAACTGAAAGTAAAAGTGGAACCCTCCGGAAGCAAGGAGGCTCACCAAAGCTAACTAGAACTGCAAGTGGTATCAACAGAATGTTTGTTGATGACCCTAAATACTTGTATCTGCATCATGAAAGATGCAGATCAAATGGCGTCAATACCTTGAATGTACGAGCATGTAAGGGGAACTCTAAAGAATAAACATAAGCTTGAACGGATAGAAAAGGAACATACCTCTTCTCAAACTTACTCAAACTCCACTCAAGGATAGGATACTCAACTCAAAGGAAAGATACTCAACTCAGCTCTAAGATACTCAACTCAAAGATAAGGTACTTAACTCAAAATACTCAAGGATAAAGCAACAATAAAAGATACAATATATGGAAATATTTTAAAATAATAGATAATAATTCAATTGTATGTAAAAATACAATAATAATTCAACTGTATGTAAAAATACAATAATAACTCTTATTTGGAAGATTCTCTACCCGACAACCATCACTATGAGCTATGTGATGATATAACATCTCGCCCACGCTGCCAGAACTTCCCTATACCTTGCCGGAGTATAGGACATCCTCAAATAAGTAGATCCACTAAGTTATGCTTAAAAGCAATAAGGAATCATCTAAAAAGTATGACCCCTTACTCATGTTGGCATACATGGTTTATGAGGATTTTGAGTTGTCCGAACTCATCCCCATATTGGTGCTCAATACTACTCCCAATAAGATATAACTCATGCTCAAATGTTTAAAAACATAACTCTTCCTCAATTTGAGATAATTACTCAAACGATCCTCTTAAAAGAGGTGATGCTAATTAAAGATTCCTCATAAATTAATTTAGAAATAAATGTTACTCTCGTTTTAAATATAAAAGTGTTACATGCTTGGGAATACTTAGTTCCCTTAAACTCGTTTTGAAATATGAAATTCAACTCTCCTCATCCTCATACTCATTTACTCAAGTCTTAAAACAAGTTAGAATTAGTTGCAAACGACTTCCCAAAAAAGGACTCAAAGGTTTTCTCAAACATCACTCTTAATCTATGATTTAATTTGAAATGAAGATTTAAGAGTTATGATTAGGATATAAATGAAAAAATAAGTGCTATTTGTTGGAAGAGAGAAAATCAAATGATATTGCTTGCAAACTCTACTATGGAGGTTGAAGTAAAAAAAAAAAATTAAGCTTCAACTAGTGAAAAAGGTGATTTTGATTTTATTATTTCAAACACTTTAATTTGAGAAATTAATTTTTCTAATTTTGATCAATTGTGAAGCATCAATATTGTTGGTAGAGTACAAAATCATTATTAAAACGGTAAATTCAGACTCAACGGGAAAAAACACAATATTATGAGATCATATTGATTACCGGTATACATTCATATTAATTGTGATAATTTTGCAGAATCATAAACTAAGGGCCTTAGCAAGATAAAGGGTCCGAAGCATATCAATGGGGATGAAATTGAAGCTCATAAATTTCTGAGTCATATATGAGGAAACCAACTTGGAGACTAGAGATCCTAACACCAGGTTCGATAAAAATGAATTATATGATGACTTAGTGTGAAATGCATTAATATTAATTTTATTCAATCCCTATGATGTGAGTGCATTTATCCTATAATGAATTGCGGAGGTTGAGTCTTTGAGCTCTTAATGAAAGTCTGTACCTCGTATGAGTGGGGTGTCAAATTATAGGAGCACCCTTGATAGATTTCACCTATGTGAGTGTGAAAGTAGGCCGCTTTCTACGAGAATAGGCTTGTTCTCAAAAACACTCAAGAAAACTGGGATAGCACAAGGCCATAATGTACTTGCTGGCTAATGAGTTAAATTTAAATTGTCTTAAATTTGGTTGGTAGACGAATCTCTAGAAATGCAGGAATGAAAATGAAATGGAAGGGAAAGAAGCTAGGAGTTGCTTCATACTTGCTTGATAAAATGTCTGAAAGAAATCATGTCAGAACAGTACAAGTATTCATAAGAATTAAGGGAAAGTGCTCTCTTGTTTTAATTGAAAATGGACTTGTTGTTCCTGTATGGGATCCAAGGATAGGTTGGATGATCGTGAAGTTAGTTTGTCACACAAATAGTGTTCGAGAATTATTGATGCATATTACTAACAAGTTTTATTTGCGTAAATCTTTTGATAACATTAGTCGAGTGTGGATACTGGATGTTTGGGGTTTATGCATATTGATTCTGTCTGTTCAGATGCTATCATTCCAACATATAACCCTGTTTACAGTGATAAATGAAACCTCTCTGCTTTCCATACTCTTGAAGAACTCAAGGTAGAACTCGATTCTCGTGTTCTTGTTGATATTAGAGAGCATCATATGTCTGGGAGTAATAGTGTATATAAAATAATAGTCTACTTAACTACTATTCCTGGGAAGTTTGCAAATTCCTGTTATTGAAGGTTCAAAGTACATTGCTTATACCCAAACACTCTGCCTCTTTTACTCATCTGCCTCTCTTCTCATAGCTAATTTACCTTATTGAGTTTGATTGTTATAGCATACAAATTGTTAGTTCAAAATGTGACTAACAAATTGAGAATCACAGTTTCTATCTTAAAATTCTATGCATATTGAGTTGCTTGTTACAATTCTTGATACAATGAAGTCCTGTCTTATGAAGTACATAAAAGTACTCGTGCTAAGCTGAAACCTTAACACAGCCAACATAGGTAATCAAACAACATACAAGAGACAATGGTTCAATTATATTCCACCTAATAGTGACTACTAACATATTGAAGCCTAATCTTTTTAAGTGTTAAAAGAGCATCTTCCATGCTAATTCTTGCATCAGATGTCACTAATGTGCAGCTCAAAGCTAATTCCATGATTGATAACAAACACTGCATCTTTGCATCGATTTGTTTATCCCCTGACTCTATCAAATTAGAATCCACCACCTTATGAATTCCACTTGGGAAGGAATTACTAACCCAAAGTTGTATGCTCAAGTCGCCAGTAAATATTTCATCAGTTGGTCTCATTCTTGTAAAAGTTTCCATCATCAAGATACCAAAGCTGTAAACATCGCAGCTCGTGACTTTGGTCAGATAACTGTGTCGAAGGTTGCGAAGTAGCTCACATTCTATGTCAAAGCTTTTGAATGCACCATCCAACTGCACATTGAATTCCTTTGCTGCAAAAATGGTTCCATCCTTAAGTATCCCTTTGTAGACCATGCTGAAACTCCCATTACCAAGCAAGTTGCTTTTATTGAATCCTTCGGTTGCCTGTTCAAGTTCATAATAGGAAATTCTTTCATGTATGCGAGGGCTAATACAACAAATAACAGACCCACTCCCAAAATAATGCACAAAATCAAGATTGTCTTTTTCCTCTTCGAAGATTGGATGACACATGGTGACACATTAAACTTAGAATCACCACAGAGTGCATCATTGGATAAGAAAGTTTGACCTGTGGCATTTGCAAAAGGACCACCAGTGGGAATCTCTCCACTAAGTTTATTGAATGAGAAGTTCAAGTATTTGAGATACACTAGAGCTTCTAATGACTTTGGAATTTCACCACCAATATTGTTATAGCACAAATCCAAGAATTCCAATGCCAACAGTTTGTCAAATGAATCTGGAATAGGCCCATCTAGTATATTATGTGCCAGAGAAAGATTAATCAATTTATCTAGACCCCCTAGTGTGCTAGGAATCTTACCAGAAAAATTATTTTTTGACAGATCAATGAGTGTTGCAGCCTTTAAATTTCCAATCTCAAGGGGTATTTTCCCACCTAATAAATTGGATGAAATATTGAATTCTAAGAGATCGCGAAGGCCTCCCAAGCTCTCAGGTAATATTGAATTCAGCATGTTGTAACCTATATAAAGATACCTCAAACTGGTAACGTTTCCTAAGCATGGTGGCACGGAACCTGAAAATTGATTTCCTGACAAGTATAATGCACCTAGATTCTTCAAATTGCAGATAGCATCTGGTATGGTTCCTTCTATTTTGTTGCTTTGTAGGTAAAATTCTTGAAGGTTCAACATTCCTTGGATAGTATTTGGAACATGTCCAGTCAACTCATTGTATTGCAGACTCATATGTATCAATCCAGTAAGATTACCAATTTCTTTTGGAATGACGCCCTTCAGATTACAAGCTGGTGCTTCAAAAATTTTCAAAGAGTTGGAGAAATTGCCTACTGAGGTAGGAAGAATAATATCCAATTGATTACCACCAAACACGAGTACTCTTAGATTCCTACAGTTTGTCAATGATGTAAGGGATCTGAATGTTGTATCACTGAAGAAATTATTCCCAGCGAAGTTTAGATGCTTAAGGTATTCTAAGTTACCAAGTGATTCAGGAATTGGACCTGTGAAACTGTTGACTGAGAGATCAAGTATTCTAAGTTTCGATGAGTTTGAGATTGAAGCTGAGAAAAAACCACTTAGATTATTTTGTGCACAATAAAGTTCTTCTAGGATGGGCATTCCACGACCTAAATTTGAAGGTAGAGTACCTGAAAGCTTGTTTTCTGACAATGCTAGGAACTGCAGTGTTGACATGTTGAAAATGCTTGCAGGGACAAAACCAGTAAGGTCATTCCGGGATAATGCTAGACGTTGTAGTTTCTTAAGATTACCTAGCTCCACGGGAATCCCTCCTGTAAATTTTCAGAAATATATGAGCACCAGTTTGGCAGAAGAGTGACACGGAAGAAAATTTCATCTCCCGTAAGGAAATATCATACTACCTTTCAATTGCAGAGCTGCAATATATTGTTCTGCTAGATCTGTTAAATTGGATAGCTCTCTTGGAACAGTTCCAATAAATTCATTGTAAGTCAATGACAAGATTTGAAGCTTTCTGCACTTGTCTAAGTTTGGTGGAATAACGCCAATTAGGTAGTTTACTGAGAGGTGAAGCCCTTCCAAGTTTGGAAGATGGTCACATATAGTTATTGGAAGGTTTCCAGTAAGATTGTTTTCGGTAAGAGCAACGTTTTGCAACGTCGTAATGTTGAAGATTGATGTTGGTATAGAGCCAGTAAGTTTATTAACTTGCAGGTCTAGGATAGTCAGGTAACGAAGATCACCAATTTCCCGAGGGATCTCTCCTTGGAGAAAATTGTTCTGTATTCTCAACACTTGCAGCTTTGTCAGATTGGACAGGGAAGATGGAATTTCCCCTGAAAATTGGTTGCTCGAGAGGTACAGGAAGTGTAGGTTGGGTAACAAACTTAAGAATGAGGGAATGGCTCCAGTGAAGTTATTACTTGTGATACTTACCAATTTCAACCTCTGCAAATGAGCCAAATCTAGTGGCAAATCTCGTGGAAAGTGTTGTAACTTATGTTGAGGGAAACAAGAAATGAGAGGTTTCCAAGGTGTGGAGGAATGGTACCATGAAGTTTCATGCTAGAAATGTCTAAAGCAGTGACTCGTTGGTGACGGGAGCTGCAAGTGATTCCGATCCAGCTGCAAACAGGGACGGAAGAAGACCAGTTTCTTGTTAGGGTGAGAAGAAATGTGTGATTTCAGTGCAAGAAGAGCAGCTTCATCGGTGCTAATATTAGGAACAAAAGTAAGTGAAGTATGGTGATGGAGTAGAATGAAAACTGCAAGAGCAAACAGAAGAATGCAATTTCTGCCCATAACTATAACAGACAGAAATTGTAATGATATCTTACAAGATCTATTTAATGATATCAAATTCATTGAATACCAATGTTCTGTTTTTATTTAGTTTTTGAACTGTGACCAGGTCTCTTCCTATATTCAACACTAGTTCGATTGGTCCGATGACTAAGTGATAAAATAATAAACTTACTTAAAAATATATCGTTTGTTGTGTCATAGACCAACTGTTGTGGTAATGACCAACATGATTTTTGTAATAGCCCCTTCAGGTATTCTTAGGTCATTATCTTATCATTTCCAAATTATCTATACACCAACCCTCTGGGAGGATCAATAATATTCTCACTTACCTTCCAGTGTGACTCGAACCTTCAACCTACCGGTTGATGGTGGAGGTGCTCAACCACTTGAACAAGCCTTAGATGATTAAACAAAAGTATTGGAGCAATGGAGCTTGTATCCTAACAGGTAAAAAAAGTAGTTAGAGAAAAGTTATACATGTTTAGAGGATCCTGGAAACCTAGGAAATGTGAATGACTCATTGAGATTAGGATAAGTGCTAATTAGCTCGAACCCCCTGGGCAAAAAATTATGTTGTATATTTAGGGGTCGTTTGGTTGGGAACAAGTTATCCCAGGATTAGTTATCTCGGGGTTAGCTGTCTTGGGATAACTTATCTCATCACTATGATATAAATGGTGGGATAAGTTATCCCAAACATCACAACCAAACAAGATACAAAAATTTTATCCCATCACTATTTATTTTTATCCCTCACAGCAAAAGACCCCTTAAGGTATTTTTAAGAATTTTTATGTCTATATATTGATTTGAACCTTCTAAATGTAAGATTAGAGGTTGGCTTAGTGGTTGAGAGGTTCAAAACTCACCTTGAGGTTCCAAGTCCAAATCGTAGGCACTACTCCTTTTTTTTCGAACTTCCTTAATTGAAATTTTGAATCCACCACTGCGGTCCACTTAACCCCCCCCCCCCCCCCCCCCACAAGTTGTAAAAGTTATATCTTGGTCCAAAGGTAATAAAAAAAACCAAAATAATAATAATATAACAAGGCCATTGTTGACACCCAATTTTGACCCTCCCCAATAATAATTAATCATTTCGAGCTTCTCCAATTTCAAACGATTTAAAATAATTAGTTTTATAAAAATTTCCAAAAAAAATAAATATAGTTGGCAAGTTATTTTTAAATAGTTTTTTCACTTTTTATAATTTTTAGATGATATATATGTTTTACATAATTATGTATATAATTAATTTATTTTATGAACATTCAAAAATCATCTCAAAAAGATTTTTTATTTTAAATATTTTATTAGTGTTGGTTGTAATTTTGAATTAATGAGTCTTATGAAATTCAAAATACTTGCAAGTTATTTTTAAAAGTAATTTTGTCTTTTTGTAATAATTTTAAATAATGAATACGTATATTTCTACAATCACGTTATTTTATAAATATTTGAAAATCATCAAAAAGATTTTACAATTTTTAGTTAAATATTTTATTAGTCTAGTTTGGTTAAATTATGGTTATAATTTTGAGTAATTAAATTATAATTAAGTTAATTATCTTATTTCGTTAAAATTAAGGAGCTCGTTAATTAATTAATATTAATTCGTCTTATTTAAGTTTTAATCAAATCTACTAATTGACTCAATTTGGCTAATTCTTTAAAATTCATTGACCCTATCCTTCACCCATCTTATAAAAATTTTCTTGATAAGACTAGGTTTGGGCGATTTTTTAGCCCAACACTCTCCAACCCAGCAGCCCAAACCTCAATTCCTTCAGGCCAACCCCACTCTTAATTCCCAGGCCCATTCCCATTCCTAATTCCCTAAAGAACCAACCCAAAAACCCATCAGCTCATACGTACAATACCCATTCCACACAATACATACAAGTATACAACATATCCAAACAACAATTCCAAGTGCCCAACAACATACAGTACACGACCTCACTGCCCCAATATCGTCTTCTTCACGCGAAAATCCCGGCAAACCCGGAAATCCAGCGGCAAATCTCGGCGCAACAGTGTCCGCCCATACGCCTGTCATCCTCACATCCAATCGTCCCCTTTTCGCGGAGTCTCAGAGCAGAGAAGGACTCCCTATGCCTTTTACCGTTGATCTCGAAAAGGAGCAAAGAAAAATTCAAATTTTCTCTTGAAAAAATCCAATGGATTTCCCCCCTAAATCACCCCATCTTCCCCTATAAATAACCCTCTACCCTCAGTGATTAAGGGGAGTTTTTTGGAAGTTGAATTTTCAAGGCAAGGATCTACCGAGAAAGAGTTTTTCAAGCTACAGGAAATTACATAAAAGATACACCTAAAAATATAATTTCTTAATTTTTTTTTTTGCCTTATTCGTGGTTTGCTGGATTCCTCAAAGTGTCGTGTGGTGGTGAAAGCTAGTTGTTATTCAAAGCTCGCCGTTTCCAGTTCTCTGCCCCTCAAAAGGTAACATCTAATTTCAGCCCATGTCTCTTTATTCTTAATGTGTTGATTACTTGATTCTTGATTAAGTGTTCAAATGTTATGATTTGTGGCGCATTATGATTGAATGTTGGCTGTAAATTAGTAATGTAGATGGTTTGATCACTCGCTTAGTTTATTTATTTCGATTTTTTTTTTTTTTTTTTGCATGAAATTTGATGACCTCTTTTGAAGCTGAGATTATTTACTTAATGTTAGTTTCTTCTCATTTCATTGAGTGATCTCATCAGGTTAACCATGAGTTAGCTCAGTTGTGATTTTTTTGAGTTCAGAATGCTAATTTTCGTAGTCTGATGTGTGGGTTTATTTTCATTTATTTTAGCTAGTATAAATAGTGTGAGCTGAGTAGTTTACCGCCTTTTCTTATGGTGTTAGTTCTATTTATGCTCAACTAAGTAGCATAGTCCTTATATTAGTTGTTTGTATCTCTCATATCTCATTCGTAATGGTATTAGTTGTGTAGTCTTTGTCACTTTTCATGTTGAGTTAATTTATTTCGAGTTTGGCTTAGTTTGACCAAGTTAAGATTGAGTCGATAAATTCATTCTTTCAGGCCGCTGGAGTGTTCATTTTGTGTCTGTTTATTGCTCTATTTTTCTGCTATTCTAACTAGGTTTTTTTTTTACATATCTCCACCATTTTCACCATGAATCATATTAATATTGAAATTTCAATATTTGAACCTAAGCGAGTCACGACTTAATGATTTTTGGGCTGTCTTTTTTTTTTTTTTTTTACCTCATGGAGTTTTTGTTATCTCGCTATCTAATATGATATGTTTGAATCAAGTATTGGCCTTTATTTTACCGAATTTTTTTTTTACCAAGAATTGTTCGCCATTTACAGTGGAGTTCGTATAAATGTGGAGGTGCTGTTTCTTTCTAACTTTTGGTTTACTTCTAGTTCTTGTCTCTTCCCAAGTTGTTAGCATTATTTGCTAATTTATTCATTCCATGAAATATATTTGTTTTACTATAGGAGGCATGTTGTTAATCCCCTTTTATTGTAAAAAGCATAATATTCAATCATTTGCAGTTTACTATGCATTGAAAAAAAAATCTTTTATTTATGCCACTTTATTTTCTCTTAAAGTTCAATTATTGCTTGTTTGCCATGACTTGTTTCTTAAGATTCAGCCTTCTTATACTATCATACGCTATTATTTGAACTCGATGACATCGATCCCAACTTTGGGGTGCACATCCTTGCATATTTGCTTTCTGTTATTTATTGTTGATAGAGTGTATTTCCCCTTTGTTGATCATTTTTGGCTTAATTCAAGTCTAAACCACATGGTTCATGAATTAAATTTTAGCATATTTTTTGTTGTTTGGAAGGTGCATTTAGATGAGCATGTGTTGTATGGTGGAGTTAATTCTCCCTCGGTTTGGGTTTATTCCACCAAAGTCATCTAGATCCCCTGCTTAGCACAATTTATTTTGGTGCATGTTGATCATATTGGAATTTTAAATATGTTCTTTTTCTCACGTCATTTGAACCTACACTAATATATTTCCTCCTTTTCCATTGTTGTATGTGAATTCCCACCGAGTCCATTGTGGACTCTTTTCCCTCCTCTCGAGTCAAGTAGAGAAGATGATGGACAGATTGAAAGTAGCAAACAGGGTTGGAAGCTAAAATTGCAGATCTTGGAAAGTCTGAAAAGTGGGCTGTATACAGCATTATACACTGATATACAGGTTCAGTATAACAAATGTGTGGCCAAAAATGAAGATACAGGTTGGAGGCGTCAAAAGCAAACTGTATACAGTCGATACATGGGTTGATATACAGGAAAAAGGGCTAAGAAACGATCGATATACACCGATATACAATTGGTGTATATGCTGCATAAACGAGTTTAGAATTAAACCCCCAAAAATTGCAGCAGGCCCAAGAAGGGCCCAAATTTAATCTCTCCTTTACTCTTAAATTATTTAATTGTGATTAGTTATTAAATGTTTTTATTTAACTCTAACTTTAGAATTATTAATTAACCTAATTAGACTCCCTAAAAGATAAGTTATTTTCTTTGTGTTGGTTAACTTTTAATATATATATATATATATTTTTATTAATCAAATATGTTGATCAAATTATACTTTCTAATTAAGTTAAACCTTTTGTTCTTAAAATATATCTTTTAACGCCTCTTCACTTAATCATTTTATTCATTTTAAAATTGTTTTTAAGTTGAAGTGTTTTTCTCAAATAAACTTTAAAAATGTTAGTCAAAACCTTTTCAATTAATAAAAAATAATAATACATACTTAGTCATCTTCTCAAAAAGGTTAGTCAATTAATTAAAAAATGGTTTTCATGCTTAAATTTACCAATTGAGTTTAAATCATTATTTTTAAAAATGAGTCAAGTAAATCCTAATTAATCTAGTTGTGTCAAAATTCTATTCACATGCAATTTAATTCAAATGTTTCATTTTTGGGTTCCTTTCTCTAAAAATAAATAAATAAAATAAAAATAAAAATGCGTCATTTATTTAATTATTTTCTTAATCGAACATATTATAAGTTATTATTTTTTTATGTTAAATCATTATTTTTTCTAAAAAATAGTCAAATATATTTTAGTCAAGTCGCAGGTCAACCGAATGTTAGCGGACACTTTGAATGCTTAAACCCTTCTCAAAGTGTAAATTGAACCCCGAACCCTTTTTGGGATTTTCAAATGATTTTTTCTGTTTAAATCTTTGAAAATTATAAGTTTTCTTGATTTCTTTTAAAAAATTAAGTGGCGACTCTTTTTTAAGTATTTTTCTCAAATTGTTTTATACTTAGAACATTTTAAAAAAAAAGTGATTTTTCTAAAGGTTAGTAAAATTACGGCACAACAGCCATCAGAGGTACTTTGCATTGGCCAATAGGAATCAAACTCAGGCCACCATTATTTATTAGTAAACCAATAATTGTTGTTTAATGTTCACCTACCATTGTTAATAATACACAGTTTATATTATGATCAGTCAATTAGCCAATACAAATCAAGTGATAACAATTATTAGTGCTAATAAAACAATAATTGTTGTTTACCTACCATAAAATATATTGTTTATGCAATAATTTTGAGCTCATACATACACCTCTGATGGCTGCCAATGAAAACTCTGAACTACTAGATAATACCTTGTGGCAGGCAGATTGATTTGATGGTTATTGAGGTGAGTTTATTAATCCATAATAAATTCTTATTTTTCATTCTTCTATTGTTGTGTAACAAAAGTAACAATACTGATAAGTTCTTATGTTCCTTGATGTTTTGATGATCTCCTCACAAGTGTAGGGACATGGTCCTCTGCAGAGTATGAATACTCGTCCAGTGGTCAAAGTGTTGTACAGCTGGAAAACTGTCTGCGTCAGAAGGTTGGTGAAGATGCAGAGTACTCCACCAATCAGAAGCGACGAGGTTGCTTGTTCATTGGATAATAACTTTTCATGTCTAAATATATCCAAGGAAAAACAACAAACTAATTCACTCATTCAAAAGGAGAGAGCCAGCACGTATTCTCAAGAACTTACTAAGATGAAGTTTGCAAGGGACCTGGTCCCTGCAAGACTACAATGTGAAAGGACGACAAGACAGCTGTCAGAAAAGCTGCCACTTCTGATGTGGTAGGTGCACAACTTTTCTAAACAGCAGGCTCTCAGCCAATGAGCGGTCCCAAGGAGTTTGTGTTCTTTTTAATATAGTCTCTTCCAACAAAACATAAACTCAAGATTTTGGCAAACAAAAACTCACAAGCTTAAAAGGAAAAAGCCATCTTCAAGGTAGAACGATACTTACACTCAACAAAAGGATCTGATAAAGGGCTGAAGCATCTTTGTTGAGTTTGAGTTTATGTCTATCATTTTATAGATTTTTTCATTTTGAAACTTATCAAGTATACAAGCAAAGACCATTTTGGTGAAGTATTCTCCAGCAAGCACAACAAGGACCTGATCAAGCTGCAAGCATCCGAGTGTGTCTTAGGAGTTATACTTCCATGCATATATTGTAAATCTGTTCCTAGTCTATAAAGGATTCAGATATTTGTTTCTGTGTGGAAAGGTCTAAGTCGGTTAGAGTTAGCCAATTTAGTGAGCAGTATCTGCTCGGTCAAAGTCTAAGTCATCTAGGAGCTAGTTGATTTAGTGGGCGGTGTGGTATCCGCTTAGCAAAGTCTATATTAATCAGTTAGGATTAGTATAGTGGGCAGTGTGGTATCTGCTCTGGCTCAACTAAGTGATAGGAGGTATTGCTTAGTGTGGAGATTAACAAGCTAATCTCCTTTTGTAAACTGACTTTTACTTTTGCTTGGAGAAGATTAGTGAAAGCAGTTTGAAAAGTCCTGGCAGGCCAGGTCGTGGTTTTACTCCCTTGAGCAAGGAGGTTTCCACGTAAAACACTTGTGCAATCTTTACTTTCAGTATTTATTTTACTGTCTGTTAGTGTAACTGTGTTGAGGACCTGGTCCCATTGATAGTCGTGGACGCTCACATTCCAACAAATACTTTATGTTATCATTTGATGAATTTAATCCGTCTATACCACTCTAACTTATTTAGAACAATTAGTTCATACAAAAACAAAACATCTCAATATGAAGACGAAAAAATGGAATGAAAAAAACTATGTAACTCTAGATCCCCTAGAGTACTAGTAATCATACCAGAAAAATATATAATTTTTTGACAGATCAATGTGTGTTGCAACCTTCAAGTTTTCCCTTTCAAAAAGGGGGAAATTGTTATTTGAAGTTTTGTTGATTTGACAAACTTCTGGATCTAACAAGGGACCTGATCGAGGAAAGACTGTGTACATGAAAAAGACAAAAACAACTGTCTTAAAGCTATCAAATCTGACATGGTTGGTGCACAACTTTTTAGAGTAGCAGACTCTCAACCAATGACTTTGCTCAAAGGGTTTGTGTCCATATCATATTAGTCTCTTCTCCAAAGACACAATGGAAGTTTTGGCAAACAAAGTTTAAATTTTCTGAAAATTCATTAGCTCATAAAGAAAAAACCATCTTCAAGGAAGAATATTGCTCATACTCAACAAGGGACCTAATGGAGTGTTGAAGCGTCTTTGTTGTATTCTAAGTTTTGTGTCTTGTGTTCTTATATTGTAAATCTAATCCTAAGTTATAAAGGATAGTAAATCAGTTGCTTGTCTAAGTCTTAAGGTTGAGTCAGATTAACTAGAGTTAGTTAGTCGAATCATCTATATTTTAGTCAAGGCTCTTTACATCATTGTTTTGATGTTCTCTTGGGTAGAATTGCCTAGGTGTGTCAACTAGAGTTAGTTGATGTGTGGGTGCTGCAGAGTTGCTGCTTGTCTATGCTCTTATCTTCGAGATCGGAGTTGGTGGCTAGGGTTAGCCTTGTTGGGTTCTTGAAGTCTAGATCAACTAGAGTTAATTGGTATAGTAGAGTTATTGCTTAGATTTCCTTTGTAGTAGAGTTGATACAGTAAGGGGAAAGGCATTAAGAGTTTAATTCCTAGGTTGCAAAAGTTCGTAATTTGAAACTTTGCTCCGTTTTAAGTGAAACAGCGTTTGGGCTTAAATTTTGTGAGTACAGGTCGTGGTTTTCACCTCCCTTGATCAAGGGGGTTTCCATGTAAAATCCTTGTGCCTGATCTACTTTGAGTTATTTATTTTCCGCACTATTATGTTGTCGAGGGACCTGGTCCAGGGACCACCAGTGGACGCATATATTCTAACAAGTGCTTGTGAAGAAATCGGGTCTGTTTCATTCCACAAGTATTTGTCATGGACCCTGTATCATCTCAACTATTCAAGTTCTGTGTTGTTCAGTGTAGATAATGGGAAGGATTCTCAAAGTTATGTAAATACGAAAAGAAAATCTTGTGTTGAGCATTTTAAATCTCATTTTCAACTACCACATATCAAGAACTGAGTTGCTTCAAACAACCAAGATAAAATACACTTAAGTACTTGCGTGAAATTGAATAACATAAGAGAGCAGATTGGTAACTAAATAACATACAAGAGCAGGTTGGTAACGATTCCACCTAGTGCCGACTACTAACAAGCTGGACCCTCATCTTTTTGAGTGTTGAAAGAGCATCTTTCATGCTAATTCTTGCATCAGGTCTCACTGAAGTGCAGTTCAAAGCTAATTCCATGATAGATAACAAACATTGCATCTTTGTAGTGATTTGTTCATCTCCTGGCTGTACCAAATTAGAATCCACCACCTTGTGAAGTTCACCCGGAAAGGAATCACTAATCCAACGTTGTATGCTCAAGTGTCCAGTAAATATTTCATCACTTGGTCTTGTTCGTGTGAACGTCTCCATCATCAGTATGCCAAAACTATAAACATCACCAACTCGTGGATACTATTCCATCTTGTCCATACTCTGTAATCATGGTCGAAAATGGTCATAAATCAATTTATACCAAGGGGAAAGAATTGTTTTGAGTATTTCAATGATACGAGAAAACTTTAAAAAGTTTAAATATACCTCGAGCAATATATCCAATGGTTGCAATTGTCCTTGTTTGAACAAAAGCCTCCCCTGCACCTAACATTTTTGCAATGCCAAAATCACTTACATGAGCAACCATTTCTTCATCTAACAAGACATTGCTTGGCTTCAAGTCACAATGCACCACAGGCGTTGAATAGCCATTGTGGAGATAGTCCATTGCAGATGCAACATCTATCATTATATCCAGTCTCTGCAATAAGTTCAAGAACAAGTTGTGAGAGTATAACAATTTATCAAGTGTCCCATTGGGCATGTATTCCAACACTAGGGCCTTGAAATCAAGATTGGAGCAGCTGGTGATGACTTTGGTCAGATTTCTATGGCGAAGGTTCCGGAGTATCTCACATTCCTTGTCAAAGCTTTTGAATGCACCATCCAATTGCACATTGAATACCTTTGCTGCAAAAATGATACCATCTTTAAGTATCCCTTTATAAACCATGCTAAAACTCCCATTACCAAGCAAGTTGGTTTCATTGAATCCTTCTGTTGCCTGTTCAAGTTCATAATATGAAATTCTTTCATGCCCTTTTACGAGAGACACATCCTTTTGACTAGCATTCTTCTTTGTGTTTCTCAATCTTAACACCACAATTCCAACAGTCAACATGAAGAGTGATCCAATCCCTAATAGAATATATAAACCTGTAAGCACTCTTTTTGTTCTTGATTTCTTTGTAGATTTGGTTGGGCATGGTTTTACGTTAAATCGGGAGTCACCACAACGTGCATCATTGGACAGGAAAGACTGACTGGTTACATTTGCAAAGGGACCACCAGTGGGAATTTCTCCACTGAGTTCATTGAAAGAGAAATTTAGGTATTTGAGATACACAAGAGCTTCTAATGACTTTGGAATTTACCACTAAGATTGTTATAGGACAAATCCAAGTACTCCAAGGACAACATTTTGCCAATTGATTCAGGAATAGGCCCCTCTAATCTATTATGTGCTAGAGAAAGATTAGTCAATTATCTAGACCCCCTAGAGTGCTAGGAATCTTACCAGAAAAATAATTATTTGACAAATCAATGTGTGTTGCAGCCTTCAAGTTTCCGCTCTCCAGTGGAATTTCCCCACTAAATAAATTGAATGAAACATTGAATTCTATGAGATCTTGAAGGTTCCCCAAGCTTGAAGGTAATCTAGAATACAGCTTGTTGTTATCTAGATAAAGTTTCCTCAAACTAGTAACGTTCCCTAAGCACGAGGGCACTGAACCAGAAAAATGATTTTCTGACAAGACTAATGTGCCTAGACTCTTTAAATTACAGATAACATCATGTCTGGCTCCTTCTATCTTGTTGTTAAATAAGTAAAGTTCTTGAAGGATCGACATGCCATGTACAGTATTTGGAATATGTCCAGTCAACTCATTGTTAGACAGACTCATCCTTGTCACTTCAGTAAGATTACTAACTTCTTTTGGAATGACACCCTTCAGTTTACAACCATCTGCTTCAAAACTTTGCAAGGAGTTTGAGAAATTACCAACAGATGGAGGCAAAACACCATCCAACGGATTACCAGATAACGTGTGTACTCTTAGATTCCTACAGTTTGTCAATGATGCAAGGAAGCTCAATGTTGAATCACTGACAAAATTATTCCCCCACAAGTTCAGAACCTCAAGGTATTCTAAGTTACCAAGTGATTTAGGAATTGGACCTGTGAAACTGTTTTGTGAGAGGTCAAATTGTCTGAGTTTCGATGAATTTGAGATTGAAGCAGAGATAAAACCACTCAGATTGAAGCACAGTATTTGTGCACAATAAAGTTCTTCTAGGATGGGCATTCCACGACCTAAATCTGAAGTTAGAGTACCTGAAAGCTTGTTTTCTCCAAAATCTATAATCTGCAGTGCTGACATGTTGAAAATGCTGTCAGGGATAGAGCCAGTAAGCTCATTCTGTGATAATCCCAATGCTTGAAATTTCTTAAGATTATCGAGCTCCATTGGTATCTCTCCTGTCAATTTTGGGGGAAAAGAGAAAAGGAAGAAAATTTTATACTACCTTCCAAATGCAGAAGTCCAAGATATAATTCTGTAAGAGCTGTTAAGTTGGCTAGCTCTCTTGGTACAGTTCCAGCAAACTCATTATCACCCAATTCCAATATTTGAAGCTTTCTGCATTTCTCCAGCTTTGGTGGAATAATTCCATCTAGGGAGTTTCTACCGAGGTAAAGTCCTTCCAAGTCTGGAATATGATCACATATAGTTTTTGGCAGCTTTCCAGTAAGATTGTAGTCCATAAGAGCAATTACTTGTATTGTAGTAATGTTGAAGATTGATGGTGGTATAGATCCAGTAAGCTGATTAAATTCCAGGTCTAGGATAGTCAAGTAACGAAGATCACTGATTTCTCGAGGGATTTCTCCTTCGAGAAAATTGCTCTGTAATTGCAACACTTCCAGTTTTGTTAGATTGGAAAGGGAAGTTGGAATTTTCCCCGAAAATTGGTTATTCGATAGGTACAAAAAGTGTAGGTTTGGTAACAAACTTAAAAATGATGGAATGGCTCCGGTAATGTTATTGTTTTTGGCATTAATGAATTTCAACCTCTGCAAATGAGTCAACTCTACTGGCAAATCTCCATGGAAAGTGTTGTTACTGATGTCAAGCGATGAAATAAATGAGAGGTTTCCAAGGTGTGGAGGAATGGTACCATAAAGTTGCATGCTAGAAATGTCTATAGCAGTGACTCGATGGTGATGGGAGCTGCAAGTGATTCCAATCCAGCTGCAAACCGGGATGGAAGAAGCCCAGTTTCTTGCTAAGATATTGTTAGAATGAGAAGAAATATGTGATTTAAGTGCAAGAAGAGCAGCTTCATCAGTGCTAATACTAGGAAGAGTAGCAAGTAAAGTATTGTCATGTAGGAGAATGAAAATTGCAAGAAAAATGCAACTTCTGTCCATAATTAAGCCAACTAGGTTTCTCATTCATAATGCAAAGGAATGATGTTAGAACAAGTATTTAATGATATCAAATTCAATTCAGTCAACATTTGGAGGTGTACTGTGTATGACAGAACAGTTTGTCTCTGGAGTGTTTTTTGGTTTACAATTTTTAGTTCAACAAGTTGTATTAGTGCAAGACCTCAATAGTCAAGTCTCACAACACTCAACAAGTTGTATTAGTGAAACACTCAACAAGTTGTGTGGAAGCAAGTGATTTGAAATAAAGCAGACAGATTTTTAGAGTTAATATCTCAAATGGTCACTCAACTATGCACTCTTCTCTCATAATATAGAGCTTGAAATTGAGATGCTTAAATTAAAACCTAACTAAAAGAGCTACCTAAAAGAGGAAGAAGAAACATCAATGGAGAACTAGAAAGAAACGCAGAGGAGGAGGAGAAAGAGTCAATAAAATGGGTCATATTATATTTTTTAATGAGTCGGGTCAAGTGGATGGATCTAAATGGTTTAAATGGTATTTTTTTTTTTTTATATATATAAACAATTTATACTAGCAAATTTTAATTAAAATAACAATTAAATAGATTGATCAGTGACTTGCTGAGAGAAGAGTGGATAGTTGAGTGACTTTCTGAGAGAAGAGTACATAGTTGAGTGACCATCTGAGATATTAATTCCAGCTTTTTATGTGTTTTTGGGTTTAGACTAAAGAATGTCAATAGTCAAGTCTTCTCAACCTTGCCACTCACCACACTCAAAATTTCTTCAAATATCATATTATTGTGTTGATTGATACTAAATGATGGAAAACAAAAGGTTTGGCAATATCTAACAATTATTTAATATTTAATAGGATTTCATTAATTTACATAACTATTTATTAATCTTTAAATTCCCTATATTCATCCGAAATGTGAAAAGTTTTGCATGTTATTGACCAATACCATTCTTATTATTAGTTTAAACTAAATGCATACTTGAAAGCAATATGTTAAAGAAAAGATTGATCTTACAAAATGTCACGCCCCGAGACTACCCCCGAGACGCGGACACGGGACCTAGGACCACAAGTGATCCCAAGCTAACTCTGCTGGCATGATCATGAGCATACTAAAGATAAGTTGAATAATAAACTGATGCGGAAGCTATAATCATTAATAAAATGAAAAAAAATGGGGAATACCCATATATAACCGAGATATATGAACACTGATGAGTTTAATACAAAGAAGATATTAACTCAATTCTAAGCTAAATCTAACTATGTCTGAAAATAGCCTCTAACTGACTAGAAATGCTAGGACAGGTCCCAGCTAAGTCTAGCAAAACTGAAACTAAAGGACTAAAAATACTGAAAAGAAACTCATGACTATTGTCCTCGAAGAATGAGGACTCACCACTGATTCTGCTGAACTGGAGATCGGGAACCGATCTAAGCGTAATCTGGATGCTGAGAACTTGAACCTACATCACGAGAAGATGTAGCGCAGAGTATACGTCAGTACTTGAAAGGTACTGAGCATGCAGGATAGAATACAGCTGAAATAACATATAACTAAACGAGCAATAACGCAAGAGCATAATCTGAACATGATATAGCTACTGAATACTGAGCTAACTGAATGCAATGATCAAATTTATAACATGCTGAAACTGAATATTGACTGTACTGTAAATGAGGTCAATGCAATAGAATCTGAGTGAACTGTGGGAGTTACTAATAACCGACAATAAAACCACATAAGCTAAATGTGGAGTCCGATGTATACGCCCCATCAGAGGACCCAATATACCCGGCCAAAGGTATAGAGGCATGACTGGCGTAATCACTAACTGATATTGCACACAAAGAGGACTTACACCCACGTGGCTCGTAGTTCTGGGACTATATGGGTACGCTGAACCCTAGACCAACTCGATATTATGCTACTCCCAATAGATTAAGTGGTTAACACATTATGACTGAGTTTCTGTATTTAATGGATAGCTCAAAACTGAACATGCAATCTGAGAATGCAACAATTAATCTGATAATGATGCATTCATAAACTGAGGAATGTATACATTATGACTGAATAGCTCAAAATACTGACATGTAGATACTCATACTTGAAAACTCCTTCTTAGAAAACAATTCAAAATCATATTATACTATGATCATTGATGACTTGGGAAGTCATGCTTACTACATAAACATTGATGGTATATCTAGATACCATATTGTTCATACATTGATGACCTATTCGATTGTCATATTAATCATGTTTTAGAAGCTCTTTCTCAAAACTCATCTTAACTTTCTCAAAACTCAGTTTAAAACTCAAGTGTTGTCTTAAAAAAAGCTTCTCAAGATTTATAACTCAAAATAGGGTTTATGCTGAAATATACTGATAATGTGGCGTTCAAAACTGGAGCATGTATATCTGAATAACTGAAATATCTAACCTAGCATGTGTAATTCAAGAACTAAAGAAATACATAGCTAGGGTTCTGAAATTCATGCAATAAATTGAGTACAAACATGATAATCTGATTTGAAATTCTAGAAACCCTAGGTCTGTTAATAGTAAGAGAATCAAGAAACTGACTGAGTTCTAGGGACCTAATGGGCAAAAGGAATCCACTAGTGAAATCCCACATACCTGGTGACGAATTCCACGAAGAAATCCTTCAATTTCAGGGCTGAAACTGGAGGAAACTTGTTACGTTCTTGAACTAAGGTTCTTGACCTCTTTCTCCTCTTAGTGTTCTAATTTTTCTAAGTTTTGAAGAATGATCTGACTTAGGTAAGTTCTAGTTATGTTTCTAGGCTTAAACTGACTAAAACCTCATAATTTAGGGTCTAAACGATGTAGCTTAGGGGTCCAACGAAATAGGAAAAGACCAAAAGACCCCTGACTTAACTGCTGTCGGAGTGATCGACGGACAGGACCTATGGGCCGTAGGTCAATCTACGGTCCGTAGATTGGGGTCGTAGGTCAAGTCTGCCCGACAGGGCTTCACTAAAATGAGCACAACTTTTTACTCGGAGGTTGGATTTTAGAAAACTCAGTGGCATTGGAAAAAGGGTTCAATTATCTATCATATAGTAGGTCATGGGATACCTAATTCCTTTTGTGCTAAGAGTGATGACCATTTGAAGTTGACCTAATTAACAATTTCCACCTAATTGGCTGTTGGCCTTCACCAATGATAAGACCTACGGACCGTGGATCGAATGACGGTCCGTGCTGGTCAGCCGTCATTCGTGTCAGAGGCTGGGTAAAGGGAGCCTCGATCCACGAACCGTGGTCTGGCCTACGGACCGTGGGTCTGTCCGTGGGTCGAGACTTAGCCGATTTTCTGAGCTGGGTTTGGGGAGGGGTTGCAGTGGTGAACCACGGACCACCAACACGGGCCGTGGTCTGACCTATGGTCCGTGGGTTGCACCTACAACTTCTCAAAATCTGCATGTTTGGTCTGTTTCGGATACGGGGCGTTACACAATAAAATGATTTTATTCAAAAGTACTTAACCAATATATTGACCATATTCATCTTCAAGAGTTTTTATTACGTATTAATCATATGTTATTAACTATTAGTTTGTAACTTATAGATGAATATGATCACTTTATGACTTTTTAGCTTGCAATTATGTTAGGAGGTGAAAATGTTGTGAAAATATTTTGATTAACTAAGATTTAACTTAATAGATATTTTATAACATTTTGAATTAGGATAGGGGTAAAATGGTATTTCAACTTTTAACTTTGTGGCTTTCCTCTGTTAGTACAACTAGTTTCACAGCACGTGCCGCACGTGTGTATCGTATCATATAGTATATGATGTTGTAAAATGAAATTAACTTGATTTTGGAGAAAAAAGAATGGAAGAAACACTCAATATTTTGTTGAATATTTGTAGTCATTGGCAATGCAACAATCGTATAATCAAAATAAGTTGCTTCCTACAACTGTGACAAAAACCACTCAAGTACTTGTGAAAAATTAAAATCTTAATCTAACTTGCATACGTAATCAAATAAGATACAAGAGTAGACGGTCTGATTCCACCTATGGCCGATTATTGACAAGATGTAGCCTAATCTTTTTCAGTGTTGAAAGAGCATCTTTCATGCTAATTCTTGCATCAGGTGCCACTAAAGTGCAGTTCAAAGCTAATTCCATGATAGATAACAAACATTGCATCTTTGCATCAATTTGTTCATCCCCTGGCTGCACTAAATAGTAATCCACCACCTTATGAATTCCACTTGGGAAAGAATCACTAACCCAACGTTGTAGGCTCAATTCTCCTGTAAATATTTCATCACTTGGTCTTCTTCTTGTGAACGTCTCCATCATTAGGATGCCAAAACTATAAACATCACAACTCGTGGATACTATTCCATCTTGTCCATACTCTGTAATCATGGTAAAAAATTATCATAAAAGCTTCCTAGTTAAAATGGAATATGCCAAAACTGAGAGCATCAATCCATATCTAGGGGAAAGAATTGCTTAACTATAAAAGTTTCTAATATACCTGGAGCAATATATCCGATGGTTGCAATTGTTCTTGTTTGAACGAAAGTCTCCCCTGCATCTAACAATTTTGCAATGCCAAAATCACTGACATGACCAACCATTTCTTGATCTAGCAAGACATTGCTTGGCTTCAAGTCACAATGCACCACAAGTGTTGAATAGCCATTGTGGAGATAGTCCATTGCAGATGCAACATCTATCATTATATCTAATCTCTGCAATAAGTTCAAGAACAAGTTGTGAGAATATAACCATTTATCAAGTGTCCCATTGGGCATGTATTCCAACACTAGGGCCTTGAAATCAAGGTTGGAGCAGCTCGTTATGACTTTGGTCAGATTTCTGTGGCGAAGGTTCCGGAGTATCCCACATTCTGTGTCAAAACTTTTGAAAGCACCCTCCAATTGCACATTGAATACCTTTACTGCCAAAAGAGTACCATCCTTAAGTATCCCTTTGTAGACCATGCTAAAACTCCCTGTACCAAGCAAGTTGCTTTCATCAAATCCTTCTGTTGCATGTTCAAGTTCATAATAGGAAATCCTTTCATGCTCTTTTACCAAAGGCACATCTGCTTGACTTGCATTCTTCTTTGTCTTTCTCAATCTTAACACCACATATGCAACGGCCAACACAAGGAGTGATCCAATCCCTAACAATGTATATAAACCGATAAGCACTCTCTTTCCTCTTGGCTTCTCTGTTGACTTGCTTTGACATGGTTTTACATTAATCCAGGAGTCACCACAGAGTGCATCATTGGATAGGAAAGATTGACTGGTGACATTTTTAAATGGACCACCAGTGGGAATTTCTCCACTGAGTTTATTGAATGAGAAATTCATGTATTTGAGATACACAAGAGCTTCTAATGAATTTGGAATTTCACCACTAATATTGTTATAGGACAAATCCAAGTATTCCAGTGACAACATTTTGCCAAATGAATCTGGAATAGCCTCATCTAATCTATTATGTGTTAGAAAAAGATCCGTCAATTCAGCTAGACCCCCTAAAGTGCTAGGAATTTTACCAGAAAAATCATTTTTTGATAAATCAATGAGTGTCACTGCCTTTAAATTTCCCAACTCCAGAGGAATATGGCCGCTTAACGAATTGGATGAAACATTGAATTCTATGAGGTCTTGAAGGTTCCCCAAGTTTGCAGGTAATCTAGAATTCAGCCTGTTGTAAGCTAGATTAAGTTTCCTCAAACTAGTAACATTCCCTAAGCATGAGGGTACCAAACCAGAAATATGATTTCCTGACAAGTCTAATGCACCAAGATCCTTTAAACTGCATAAAACATTTGGTATGGTTCCTTCAATCTCGTTGCTTTGTAGATAAAATTCTTGAAGGTTTAACATGTCTTGGACAGTATTTGGAATATGTCCAGTCAACTTATTCTTATACAAACTCATATATATCACTCCTGTAAGATTACCAATTTCTCGAGGAATGACGCCCTTTAGCTTACAGCCATGTCCTTGAAAATTTTGCAGCGAGTTTGAGAAATTACCAACAGATGCCGATAAGGCCCCATCCAATGCATTCTCATTAAACCGGAGTGCTCTTAGTTTCCTACAGTTTGTTAATGATGTAAGGAAGCTCAATGATGAATCGCTGATAAAATTATTCAGCTCCAAGTTCAGAACCTCAAGGTACTCTAAGTTACCTAGTGATTCGGGAATTACACCTGTGAAACTATTGTCTGAGAGATCAGCCATTCTGAGTCTTGAAGAATTTGAGATTGAATCAGATATAAAACCACTTAGACTATTTCCTCCACAATAAAGTTCTTCAAAATTGGGCATTCCACGCCCTAAATTCGAAGGTAGAGTACCTGAAAGCTTGTTTATTGAAAAATCAAGGATCTGCATTGCTGATATATTGAAAATGCTTTCAGGGATAGAACCAGTAAACTCATTCTGGTCTAACATCAGCAGCTGTAGTTTCTTAAGATTACCTAGCTCCGCTGGTATCTCTCCTGTCAATTTCGGGAAATATATGAGTACAAGTTTGGTGAAGAGAGGAAAGGAAGAAAATTTCAGATATCTTGTGAGGAAATAGCATACTACCTTCCAAGTGTTGTAATCCAAGATATAATTCTGTAAGAGCTGTTAAGTTGGCTAGCGCTCTTGGTACAGTTCCAGTAAACTCATTGTAAGACAGAGACAATATTTGAAGTTTTCGGCATTTCTCCAGGTTTGGTGGAATAATTCCACCTAGAGAGTTGCTTGAGAGGTGAAGCCCTTCCAAGTTTGGAAGACGGTCACATAAAGTTTTTGGAAGATTTCCGGTCAGATTGTTGTTGGTAAGAGCAATTCCTTGCATTGTAGTAATGTTAAAGATTGATGGTGGTATAGAGCCAGTAAGCTGATTATCTTGCAGGTTTAGGACAATCAAGTAACGAAGATCACCGATTTCTTTAGGGATCTCTCCTTTGAGAAAATTTGTGTGTATTGTCAACAATTCCAGCTTTGTCAGATTGGAAATAGAAGATGGAATTTTCCCCGAAAATTGGTTGCTCGAGAGGTACGCAAAGTGTAGGTTTGGTAACAAACTTAAAAATGATGGAATGGTTCCGGTGAAGTTATTACTTCTGACATTAATCAATTTCAACCTCTGCAAATGGGCCAACTCTACTGGCAAATCTCCATGGAAAGTGTTGTTACTGATATCAAGGGAGACGAGAAATGAGAGGTTTCCAAGGTGTGGAGGAATGGTACCATGAAGTTGCATGCTAGAAATGTCTAAAGCAGTGACTCGATGGTAGCGAGAGCTGCAAGTGATTCCAATCCAGCTGCAAACCGGGGTGGAAGAAGACCAGTTGCTTGCTAAGATGATGTTAGGATCAAAAGAAATGTGTGATTTAAGTGCAAGAAGAGCAGCTTCGTCAGTGCTTATATTAGGAACAGTAGCAAGTAAAGTATGGTGATGAAGTAGAATGAGAACTGCAAGAGCAAAGAGAAGATTGCAACTTCTTCCCATAATTAATTACTATGACAAGAAGGTCTCTCTTTTTTACTTGTTGAGCTAAAACAAGAATTGATTTATATAAGGTTTATTAGTTTCTGGATATTTTGTTATTAGTACTTTTGGTTAGCACAAGTTGTATTGTAAGTTGTGACCACCTCTGTCTGTTTTTCTTCTGTGGGGTTGGAGTGTGAACAGAAATAGACACTAATGTCTTACTACTAATGGAAACAAACATTATTGTGGTCAATAAAAAAAGAATTTTATGTGCTAAAGCAGATTTTTATGACAAATTGCCCTGTGTGGGCTTTAGTAGTCAAGCCTTTTTATATGACTTTCACACTGTATGATAATCTCCAATTGTAATTTGCAAATAATGAATCAAGTAGTGAAGAAAATATCAAAGTAAACCAAGTCAACAATTTAGGCACTAGGCATTCTATTGCCTTTATGATATGTGCCAAAAAAGTCAACTTCATAGTCCTTTTTTTCTGTTTTCCAAGATAGTTATGTATACTTTTCATCTTTCCAGCACCGCATCAAGAACTTCCTCAACAATTCTTGGATCTTTAGATTGAGTGTCAATAATGCCAAGAAGTCGGTTTGAGTACTCTTCCACGGCCTCCCAAAGATCTAAAGCCTAAGTCTTCCTTTTTCACAATCAATTACAAAAGGAGCTATCTGGGATAAGCTATTTTTGGAATTTATCTCACACTCCCTCAAGAAATTGGCTCTAGATACGAATTATTGGTTCTTAGCAATGAAATTAAAGAAACAACATAGGCTTTGGGAGAGAAAAAATATATCACTGTTGACAAATGAAATTATTTTATTAACCACTCAAAGACTTACATTTATGGCAATAAACTTATTTGCAAATTCAAATAACAAACAAAAAGGAAACTAACTTGTAAATTCAAGCCACACGACACTCTAATAAAAATAATTAAATCCTAGAAGTTAGCGACTCGTAAGCTAAATTCCTGCAAAAGAAATCTTTTAGAGATAATGTAGAGTATCTGCTTCCACCTAGTGTTGACTACTGACAAGCTGGAGCCTAATCTTTTGGAGTGTTGAAAGTACATCTTTCATGCTAGTTCTTGCATTAGGTGCCACTAAAGTGCAACTCAAAGCTAATTCTATAATTGATAACAAACACTGCATCTTTGCATCAATTTGTTCATCCCCTGGCTGTACCAAATAGTAATCCACCACCTTATGAACTTCACTTGGGAAGGAATCACTAATCCAACATTGTATGCTCAATTCTCCACTAAATATTTCATCACTTGGTCTTCTTCTTGTGAACGTCTCCATCATCAGAATGCCAAAACTATAAACATCACAACTCGTGGATACTATTCCATCTTGTCCATACTCTGTAATCATGGTAAAAGATGATAATAAAAACTTCCTAGTTAAAATGCAACATGCCAAAACTGAGAGTATCAATCCATTTCTAGGCGAAAGAATTGTTTAACTATAAAATGTTCTAATATACCTGGAGCAATTTATCCAATGGTTGAAATTGTCCTTGTTTGAATGAAAGCCTCCCCTGCACCTAACATTTTTGCAATGCCAAAATCACTGACATGACCAACCATTTCTTGATCCAACAACACATTGCTTGGCTTCAAGTCACAATGCACCACAGGTGTTGAATAGCCATTGTGGAGATAGTCCATTGCTGATGCAACATTTATCATTATGTCTAATCTCTGCAATAAATTTAAGAACAAGTTGTGAGAGTATAACCATTTATCAAGTGTCCCATTGGGCATGTATTCCAACACCAGGGCCTTGAAATCAAGATTGGAGCAGCTTGTTATGACTTTGGTCAGATTTCTGTGGCGAAGGTTCTGGAGTATCCTACATTCCGTGTCAAAACTTTTGAATGCACCCTCCAATTGCACATTGAATACCTTTGCTGCCAAAAGTGTTCCATCCTTAAGTACCCCTTTATAGACCATGCTAAAACTCCCATTACCAAGCAAGTTGCTTTTGTTGAACCCTTCTGTTGCCTGCTCAAGTTCATAATAGGAAATTCTTTCATGCCCTTTTACCATACACCCATCTACTTGACGTGTATTATTCTTTGTCTTTTGCGATCTTATAAATACATACACGAGGGCCAATACAAGCAATAACACACCCACTCCCAAAATGATGTATAGAATCAAGATTGTCTTTTTCCTCTTGTGATATTGGATGAAACACGGTGACACATTGAACTTAGAATCACCACAGAGTGCATCATTGGACAAGAAACATTGACCTGTGGCATTTGAAAAAGGACCACCTGTTGGAATCTCTCCACTTAGTTTATTGAATGAGAAGTTCATGTATTTGAGATACACAAGAGCTTCTAATGACTTTGGAATTTCACCGCTAAGATTGTTATAACACAAATCCAAGAATTCCAATGCCAACATTTTTCCAAATGAATCTGGAATAGGCCCGTCTATTCTATTATGTGCTAAAGAAAGTTTAATCAATTGATGTAAACCCCCTAGAGTGCTAGGAATCTTACCAGAAAATATATTTTTTGACAAATCAATGATTGTCGCAGCCTTTAAATTTCCAATCTCGAGGGGAATTTCCCCACTCAATAAATTGGATGAAATATTGAACTCTATGATATCACGAAGCCCCCCCAAGCTTGCAGGTAATCTAGAATTCAGCCTGTTAAAAGCTAGATGAAGTGTCCTCAAACTAGTAGCATTACCTAAGCATGGTGGCACTGAACCGGAAAACTGATTTCCTGACAAGTCTAATGCACCAAGATTCTTTAAACTGTTCATGACATCTGGTATGGTTCCTTTAATCTCGTTGCTTTGTAGGTAAAGTTCTTGAAGGTTCAACATGCCTTGGACATTTTTTGGAATATGTCCAGTCAATTCATTGTTGAACAGACTCATCCTTGTCAGACCAGTAAGATTACTGATTTCTTCAGGAATGATGCCCTTAACTTGACAACCATTTCCTTCAAAAATTTGCAGCGAGTTTGAGAAATTACCAATAGATGCTGGCAAAACCCCTTCCAATGCATTCTCATAAAACCAAAGTGCTTTTAGTTTCCTACAGTTTGTTAATGATGTAAGGAAGCTCAATGATGAATGACTGATAAAATTATTGTTGTTCAAGTTCAGAAGCTCAAGGTTTTCTAAGGTACCAAGTGATTCAGGAATTACACCAGTGAAACTGTTGTCTGAGAGATCAAGCATTCTAAGTCTTGACGAATTTGAGATTGAAGCAGACATAAAACCACTTAGATTATTTTCTGCGCAAAGAAATTCTTCTAGGAGGGGTATTCCACAGCCTAAATCTGAAGGTAGAGTACCTGTAAGCTTGTTTATTGTAAGTGTTAGGGACTGCAGTGTTGATATGTTGAAAATGCTTGCAGGGACAGAACTAGTAAGCTTGTTCCCAGCTAACCTCAGATGCTGTAGTTTCTTAAGATTACCTAGCTCCATTGGTATCTCTCCTGTCAATTTTGGGGAAATATATTATTACTTGTTTGGCGAAAGAAAGAAAATTTAAGGAAATATCGTACTACCTTCCAAATGCAGAGCTGCAACGTGTAATGCTGTTAGAGCAGTTAAGTTGGCTAGCTCTCTTGGTACAGTTCCAGTAAACTCATTGTAAGTCAATGAAAAGACTTGAAGCTTTTTGCATTTTTCTAAGTTTGGGGGAATAACACCACCTAGGTAGTTTCCTGATAGGTAAAGCCCTTCTAAGTTTGGAAGATTGT